GCTAGCTGCTTCGTGTCCGAGGCCACTTTTTCTCTTCCAATCATTTTTCCTACACTTAGAGTCAGGCCAGGTAGGATTATTGCTCTTGTCACTCGGCTTCACAAAACATGCAACCTCTGAATTGTATCACTGCACTTAATTTGTTTATCCCACCTTATTTTAGCACTCCACCCATATGGGACAGTTGTAAGTGAATGGGAAAATGATAAAATAAAATAAATTAGGAGTGTTCATCGGATTATCAATTTTAATTAAATGCAATAAGCATATCATCGAAGTGTGCCTCTTCAGACGCTGCTACTAAAGGCGACTCCTCCTCAAACGGCGAATTGACATAATGAGAAAAATGCCCGACATCGGAATGGCCATATTCCCAATAATGGCAAAACATAACTGAGGTCTGGCAAAGACAGAAAAAAGGAAAAAATTAATCAACAATATAGACTGTGTGTGCGGGGGGGTGGGAGACAGAGATAGAGAAAAGGCATTAATAAGAGAAAAAACAAATAGGCATCCTGCTGAGTGCGCAAATATGTAATGCACAGAATGGACAGCATAAATTGGCTTCCTAAGTGTACAGGCACGAATGAACGTAATTGTGAAGGCATCTCTGCAGGAATAGAAATACTTTAGCAGATACTGGTGCACATTCGCGTGCAAGGAGTTCTGTAGAATGAACCTCTCCTGAATGTGCTTCTCTTGAGTGTGTCTGTCCTAAGTGGAGGCATCGTCTTCCCCCCCTTCACCATCACCCGCATTGTTTATTGCTCCACCGTGTAGGTGGAATGCACAATTGAGCATTGTCCACCCCCAATTGGGGCTCATAAAGCGGGTTGCAAAATATGAAAGCCATAAAGAAGGGGAAGGGGAACGTGAGGGACAGCGTGAAAGATCACGTGAGGGACAGCGTGAAAGATCACGTGAGGGACAGCGTGAAAGATCACGTGAGGGACAACGTAACAGATCAAGTGAGGGACAACGTAACAGATCAAGTGAGGGACAACGTAACAGATCACGTGAAGACAAAATCGAAATTCTAACGAGATAAATCTAACTAACTTTGAACTGTCTAATTAAGCACAGGTAGAACATGATGAGGTTTGTGTTCGTGTCAATGGCGTATTTCTTGGGCAACAATTTGACGGTCCATTCCCTGACGGCCTGTATGTACATTTTTTCCATTTTCTCCTTGTCTTCATCCCCGATGCCGTAATTGTCCTGCGATTCGTTCTTCTCCCTGACCATCCTTTCATAGTCTCCATAAAGCTTCTGGGACACCTTTAGGTCTTTAATCAGCAGGATCAATATTTTAATGACAATCCTATATCTGTACAAGATTTTTTTTAAATCTGTGATTAGCTCTACGATATTTTCTTTACTGTCATTTTGTTTAACATCGCAATTATTCTTTTCTCTAATTTCTGTATATTTGGACATCAGCGAAATCAACTTCCTCGTTTCAATAAATGTTCAAGTGTAATTTTTCCTGCTCATACACCCCCAAAATTCCCTAAAATAGGACATGACCGTTTTGGAATTTTCCTTCAACGACTTGACGAGGGTGGAAAATTCCATAACTTGTTTTCTATACATTAATTCGTGCACGATAACTTTGAAAATATTCATGATTTGCCGCTCCTGCTCCTCCACCTTGGCGTTTTCTATTTCATTTTTTAGCAACTGGAGACTTCTGCTGTTGATATCCAATCCGAAATTGACTTTCATAAAATGGCTGAATTTGGACAAGGCATTTTGTATGTTTTTTTTTCTTCCACATATAACGATTCGACATCGAATAGAAAATTACTTTCGTACACATGGTCCATCTTTTCTTTCGCAATGGTTTCTAAAACCACTTTATTTTTTTTACGTTTTGTATCAAATAGGTGGGTGAAAAACCCCAAAATGGACCTTAAATATCCCTGAAATATATTGTTTAAGAGACCAAATAATTTCTCCGTTTTATATTCAATGATGGATTTTATAATATTATTAATCGATTCTAGCGTCTCCTCCAGGAAGGATATGTCTATCCCTGTGAATTTCTCAGGGTTATACTTTAACTTCATTTCTAGGAGGGAAAAATAGTCGTAAAAATCATCCATAAACACTCTCGCTGCCACATTCTGGGTAACATTGTTGTAGCTATTATTCCAGTGTGTAAATTTCAGTGGGAATCTCTTCCCTCCATTTCCTAAATATGTTTTTATGTCCTTCTCAATCTTATAAAATTCCTTTTGGTATTGTTCAAATATATTCCTGTTATGTTTAAACGATTCAGTAAAATGTTCCAACAACTCCTGCGTATTTAGGGGAACTTTCTTCGAGAAATTGACATCCATCGCGTACAAAATTATATCCCTTCCATTGACCAACAACATATCCTGGTCTCCATTCATGTCTAAGAATAATTTCAACTTCGATAAGGCTTCCCACCCCTTCTTGTCCAAAATGTAGTAACTCCCGAATAGCTCATCGATATATTGCCTAGATGAATTGATCAATTCTTCGATTTGTTTTTTTATATTTTCCTTCATAAACGTTAACGTCCGGTGAATGCATGTGAGAATTTTTTTCTCATTTTTCATTTGCTCTTCGTAATTGCTGTACATGACAAAGTTGGTCAGATCCACAAATAAGTCTTTCGTATCATGCAGAGATAAGCCACATATTTTATCGGACAGACTTATGTCTTTCTTTTTGCACATCTCTTCCATTTGTACTATGGACATCCCCTTGTTGTTTAAAATCGCGTCGCCCCCTTCGGCGCATCTAACTGCCAACGTCCTCTTCCATTTTGAGTTTCCGCTTGTGCTAGCGCCGGCCGGCCATTTACAAGAAACGGGAAGAAAATCAGAGGGGGGCGGTTTGGGTGAAGAAGCGGGAAAGTGGCAATTACGCGATAACCTATTAGTGCAAAGCCATTCGACCAACGCGCTACCCACCAAGGGGGAGAAAAATAAAATGCATCAAAGTATGGATCGCCACTTGAGAGGCGATCACCTCCCACCCATCTTCCAATCTTTTCCGCATTACTTGAACAAAAGGAGTGAATCAAATCCAGAGATGTGTATATCCAAAAGCACTTCTATCTACAACGGGGAAAAACAACATAAGGAAAAAAATAAATAGGTGAAAAAAAAAAAAATTACACAAAGTAACTCGTTCGGCGGGTACACACATTACCACCGCGAACGCTTGGCGATCGATGCTGAACCAGGGACAACACTCCAATTTACCAGAATGTTCAAATAATATAGCCAAAATAAATACATTGCCGTTTGAAAACGACATAATTTAAATTCAAGGGGGGATCCAAGAACGAAAGCTAATCCATAATTCAGTGTTTTGCAAAATTACAATTATCTTATCCTTTTTTCTCTCTTCTTCAGTTTTCATTCTGATAGAAAAAAAAAAAAGAAAAAAAAAAAAAAACGATTGGACCGCTCTACCTATTACGACAGCAGAACCCTTCCTCATATATACACCTATACAGCTGTACACGTTTTGATGCGTACTGTTTAGATCTTCCCATTTATCGGTACGATTCTCTCTGGACAGGAAAATTCAGCTCTCTTTTTTTTTTTCTTCTTCCTTTTTTTTTGCCAATAAAAAGGAAAACGCACAGCTTTGTAATTTACCTTGGAGAATCTTCGCTAAATACATGAACGTGTAAAATACAATAAGTAGTTCCTAACTGCATCAATTCTTCCTCACATCTCTGGTTAAGGGGGTTCTAGGTGCTCATCACGCGTAGTTAGGAACCTTGTTCTGAGCAACGACTAAATGTTGAACAAACGCGGTTTATAATAAATACACCGTGTGGGTAGCAAAATTTAAAAGGACTTCACCTGTTCGCGTTTATTTTGTCGTTTTGCCCCTTTTTTTTCCAGCCGTTTTTTTTTTTTTTCTTTCTTTTTTAAATTTGCCAGAAAAAACAACTCCCAATATATGGCTTAAACAGTACAACAAACTATGAACAGCTTGTGAAGAAATTTTTTACCACCCCTCCCAGCAGCATGACGCGAGATAAATTAAGAACACCTCTACCTTCACACGTCTTGTCACTTTTTCTTGGCAAAATTTGCGACCCCTTGACCGAGTGAATAGCACTTCAGTTGTTCTCCCGTACTTCGCCAATTCGCCTTTCTGTTCCTACCTGCCAATATTATTATTAAAACGGTATCTGCGTCCTTGCTTGCCACCTCTTCGCCATTTTAGCACACACGGCCCCTCTTCTCTGCCAGCTCAACACACACACGTGACACATTTCAGTAAATTTAATTCCCCCCATAAACTTTGACACCACATAAATGAGAAATTTTTCCTCATCTCAGCTGTGACTATTTTTTACTATTTCTTCACCTGCGTTCCCTTCTCGTAAAACTGAAAGTCAGCTCGTTATGTAGTAAGTTACCTACTTGCACATCTATGAGGACATACAGACTCACGCGCGGCACGCAAACTCAACACGGACGACACGAACATGCATTCTCATCCACACGAGTGAAGAAAATAAAAATCTATGCTGAGATTACTACCCAAAATGAAAGAGAATAACTTGGATTCGACAAAACTAAAGCTGTGGACAATGAGTTGTCACTTGCTTCAGAAAATACTGATGCCCTCCATGTGTAGGCAATTTAATTACACGTGTATGTATAACCACATATAAAAGATGTGTACCTCTACACACTATACCTACTCATTTAGCGGCATGTATATGCACATGCGCAGGCGCGCGATGCACCGCTACACAGGTTGCTCATATATCATCTGACATTAAAACAGGTAGCGTTTCACTCGTCGCGGTTCGCCAAGGCTGAAGGGTTTTAGACAGTGCTGTGACTAAATGGTGTGTGCACTTTTCAACGATAAAAAAATTGTATACATTTAAAAACTAGTACATGTATATATTTTTTTCTTCTTTTTTTTTTTTTTTTTTTTTACTGTACTATCATAGGTAAGAGGTAGGCACATATATATTCACACATACGCGTGGCTACATGGTGGACGCCTAGAGGGATGTGCCATCCAGGTCGATTTGCAACTCATTAGTGAAAAAAGAAAAGGTTTCTTCTTGAAGGCGGTAGTGGTGAGGCATTTCACCCTCCGTTAATTAACCCATATAAAACTACTGCGTTATTACGCATGCAAAAGTGTTTACTCAATGTATAGCCAATGGTACACAAATTAAAGTGTCATGGAAAACGCATCTAACACATAGGGTGCTCAAGGTCACCTTTCAATTAGGTCTTCCCCAAAAGGTAATGACATATTCAATATGTTGCAAATGGGATTGAAAAGCGAAATGACCTACTTCCTTGCCTAATTCGTTAACAGTCTAAAAGGTTATGAAGTCAGTGTAAGAATAAAATAACAATGCAGCGACAGGTTAAGTCATGTAGCTTTATTCACTCATATCCTTTTTATGGTCACCTGCAAATTGCCAGTGCTTTACTTTGAGCGTCTCTTAGGGAAACGCCTGTAGAACCTCCCCATTGCAACATTCTCGTAAAGGGGAATTAAAAACAGTTTGTCATCTAGCACACTTATCATTGGGCCTCGAGACGCGAGAAATATGGCCTCACTCTCGTACACAAGCGCGCGAATAAGCGTCTACATTAACCCACTTATGTATATGTGAATCTACATGTGCATAACGATTCACATTTCCCGTCAATAATGTGACAGGCGTATTCCTGCACTATACTATCTTCAGAATGAAAATGGAACAATATCATCTGGGGAGTACTCCCATTCGTATGGGTTTCATTTCGCAAGGAGTGCCATTTTTCAGGACATTAGAACAGCCCCTTAATCGCTTCTCATTTTGTCCGACGTGCATGTGTTAAAAGTTGCCTTGAGAAAGAGAAACAAAGGAGAGACTACACTAAGAGGAAAACTATTTAAATAAGGGTAAATGCCTAAAATTGAAATGTAGCAACGTTTGTACATGGTTAGAACGCTCCCACTAAATTACAACAAATGCATTTTGCCGCAAACATCCCTGCTTAAACACACGTGCAGCTCCGCAAGAGTATATATAATGGTTCAAAGAAAGGGCTGCTTATAACACGCACAAAAGGGGTTAAATAGGTTGCATTATATTGCCTCTCCGTTGTTTTGTGTCCCCCCTTTTATCTTATCTCACCGGATTAGAAATGTCTACCGCTGCGCACTCCCACGGAACGTTTCAAATTTTTCAGACCGTAAAATTTTCAATGGCTAGTGTGCAAATAAGCCAAAGTTGATTTATCGTCTCAAAATTTTTTTCGTTTTCTAGTTTTTTATTTTTTTAGTTTTCTAGTTTCTTGTTTTTTTAATTTACTAGTTTTCTAATTTTTCTAATGTTACTAAAAAACATAAAATCACAAACGAGTTAATTAAATGAACCTAGTCGACCTTATGCGCGGGAACGTGCGTATTTGTGCGTGGGGGGGGAGGGAGATCCCCCCCAGGCGTTCGCATCATTTTGGCGTCGAAAATAATTTAACAATTCCACAAATAAACAATGCATCTCAAAAATGGGCATGAAAAAGTAGTGCTACAGTTGGAAGGGCAGAAGGATGAACTGCTTGGAATTCATCAAGCCCCCCTGAACGCGCAGTCCGTGCAGGGCGTGCAGAACGCTGGAAAGCGCCGAAAGCGGCCGCAACCAGCCGCAATCAGCTGCAACCCACCGCAAAACTGCGCAATAAACGCATAAAAAATGTACATAGATGTACAAAATGTTCTCCCTGGTGCCACTTTACACTGCGCGCCCTGTCACAGGCGAACGTATGCAAGCACGCATAAGGGCTCTCGCCTCCCGCTAGACGAGGGCGTGAAGCTGCAACGCGTGCTTCTCAACTGAGGTGCTTCAAAAAAATGAAAAAAAAAAAAATGGGCATTAGCTTCACAAACGTTCATATTTACATTAAAAAAGGAAAAAATAAAAAAAAAAATATATACACTGGGGGTACCTACATACGTACATATTTATGTATAGGTACAGATGTACATTCTCCCACGGGGCATTGTGGCTAAGAAACCGTTCTACCATTTTGATAAAATAAAAATCCGAAAGGAAATTACGTAAATAAATAATGGGTGAATAGTCGATTCTTCAAATCTGTTCATTTCATAGGAGTAACTCAATATGGTGTGCTCTTCTGTACTCTTCAATTATGAGTGCCGTCTGTCTAGACAGGCGTCCAAAACAGGGAAGGTCTTAATTCTCTGTCAATTTCAAATGGGAAGTGCGTGGGCGGAGCTCTACAGTCACTTAGAAAAATATAATGGGCGTAAAAAGAACGCACGGAAATTGCTTGCACGATGGCCTCTATAGAAGTGGTCCTGGGGGCGGGTGTCCTCCACAGGGGGGAAAAAGGCTCTGATAGGCTATCCCCCTAAAGTGACCCCATCAATCATTCGCCTGGATGGAAGACACGAAGTTCTTCTTCTCATACATATCCGCAAAACTCTTCGTGCTCGTCCAATTGTAATTACAAGGATTCACTTTATTGTCATTACCTCCATTCAGCCCAGACGACATTATTATCTGCTTGCATTTGAACAGCTCCTCTCTTAAAATTTTTATCTGAACCATTAAGTTTTTTATTTCATTTTTGTAGTGCTTACACTGTAAACAGGAAGGGCCCAAAAAATTGTAATCCCCAAATGGGTTAAAATTGTTGGAGGAAGAATTAAAAAGTTCGCTTCCATTTGTCACTTCTTTTTCTTTGTGACAAAACAGGTTCGTGTCTCCTTTAAAATCGGTGAACCTATTATCTGCTTCATTTGTGCACTCGAAATTTTCGTTAATACTATTACAGGAAAGGAATATATTTAGCAGGTTGTTTGTGTAATCCATTGGCTCGTTCTCTTCTTTCTCATTTGAGTTATACTCCTTCGATTTAGTGACTTCCTCAAACTGGCTATTCTGCAGGGGGTGAAAGGCTTCCTCTTTAATAAAAAAATGGCTGTACGTGTCGTTCGAAGCGCTGTGTTTTCTAAATGGGTTTCCTGTCTCTTCTCTAAATGGGTTTCCCCTGCCCTCGATGAACGGGTTCCCCATGTTCAGAGTGAGGTTAAAAATACCGCCCAGGTCATCACCCATTCCGCCGCTTCCCTCCTGCAGGGACATGCTGGAGTTTTTCGCCCCCTCCTTCAAAATGAACGCAGAGTTGTTGCTCTTCTTTCCAAACAGGATGCCGCCTATTTGGCCTACTGCGCCTACCCCGTCTCTCGCCCCAGAAGTTTCGAATCCGGTGAACTTGCTATCCAGGTTACCCCTCGCGTAATTATAAAACATACTTTCCTTTTGTTGCACGAGTTGTTTGTTCGAAATGATGTATCCGCTTGATTCCTTCGAGGGCACACTATTTTCTGTGCAGTTGGAGTAATTGATTGTCTGGAAACAGCTGTCCTCCACCTGCTTCCTCTCCTCCAGATGGTTCTCACTGTTGAGGGTAGACTCCGTGGTGGATTTCCTCATAACGCCATGATTCAAGTTAGTAGCATTATGGATGTCAATGGGCTTGCCTCTGTTCTTCACACTACCTACACTGTTAAAGGTTGTGCCCTCATTATTCTCCTTCTTATTCTCCGTATCTTGCTTGCTATTCGCCCAGTCAAAGTTCGCTCTGGAATTAGTGCATACAACAGCGCTCACTTCCTCACAGGTAACTTTCGCCTGACTCGTGGGATTCACCCCACTACAGCTACTGGTCCCTTTGACGATAACGTCTCTTCCGTTTATTGCACTGCTCCTACTATTTTCGATGGGGTTTTCGTTTTTGCTAGCTTTTTCTCTAAAGACATGGTCCTTCCCGTGACTGCCGATTTCGACTTCCTTGCCGCTGCTCTGCTCTATATGCCCCTTTTCCTGATCGGTACCTTCGCGATGGTCACTCTCCCGCTGGTCGCTCCCGACGTGCTTCCTGTTCCTGGGCGTGCCGGCATTACTTCCACTTTCCGTTGTGCCCTTCTTCGAATTCTTATTTCCACTTTTGTTCGTACTAGGCGTATTGCTGCCCTTCTTAGTGCCTTGCGCTTCGCCATTCTTGCCCTTGGCATTTTTCCCCTTCTCTCTCTCTACACAAGACTGTTCAACGGGGCTGAAATCGTCATTCTTTCCTTCCCCAGCATTAAAAAATTTGCTACTTCCATTTTTCTTATCGCCCTGGTCCTTTTCATTGTTACAATTTTTGCTGATCGGATTCTCCTTTTTAGTGTTTTTCCTTTTCTCGTTCAGTTCGCTCTTCAGTTCAGTGTTCCCCATGCAAAGGACTTCGCTAAAGGTACTTGTTCTGGTGTTGCTTCCTCCATTGAGTGCATTACTGCTGTTGCTACTTCCGTTATTGTTTCCTAAATTTGCACCCCCCCCTTTTTTATTCTTATTCTTCTTTGACATTTTGTTTTGGCCCTTTGTGGTGTTCCCTGTTAATGTAACACTGCCATTTTTGTCCCCGTCTTCTGGTTTTAATTCCCTCTCGTTGTTCACCCCGTTGGTTTCAATGGCCTCTTTTTCAGCTGCCAAAACTGGTGTTCCCATACCACTGACCACTTCACTCGTCCCAGCGTCAATGAATCGAATTACACTTCCCACGTCTGCAAGTTCCACATCAAGCTTGGAGCCCACGCCCTCCTCCACATGCTCATTTGTAAAAAAACAGTTGTTAGCTCCACTTCTACCCGTGTCATCAAAACTGAGATGATCAAAGGTGTTGCAATTGGAGATGTTCGCGAAGCTGCCTGTCTTATTATTATTGTCACTAGCATCAAATATGGTCGACAGATTCGCATAATTCTCGAAAATGGAAGTATTATTGGAGTTGTTGGAAATATATTTCGAACCTATTAAGTCGAAGTTTCCGTCTCGGCTGCTATTCATGTCTGTTATCAGCTCTTCCTTAAAATTGTCTACATTTGTGTGAGCCTTTTTGCACAGATTTACGTTCATTCCGTCTGCCTGATTTGCTGAGTCTTCTTCTCCATTTGCCATTTCTGTCACGCTTGGAAAAAATTCGCACGGCCTGTTATAGGTCAGCTCCTGGAATGGGTTACTGTCCTGGACGTCGCAACTGCCTTCTCCAGCAATACCGCTACTGACAGCACCACGGACTACGCCGACGACATCGCCTACCAAGTCGTCGACTATTCCACTTCCCGTGGCAACGTTGGAAGGCCCCTTGTTCTCCCCTCCCTGCGCCTTCGAACCGTGCGAAAAGAAAGAATTCATCCCCTGAACGCTTACCGCATCGGAGTTATCCCTCCAACCAGTCTTCGTCCTATTATTTTCGTAATCGGTGAAACAAAACTCAACAACCTTGTACGCATTGTTGTCCAGCATATCAAAATTCAGTCCACATTCCGTCGTATTGCTATTATAGCTCAGAGTCTCATCATAGTACATGTTGTTTTTGTTCATGAAAGATGTGTTCATGTTTGTCGTTTTCTCGTAATTTAGGGTTCCTAAATCGTTTAGCTCATTTATCCACATAGAACTACCACTACTGTTGTTGCCACTTTTATTATCAATGTTGTTTTTTAGACTTTTCTTTCCACTATTCAGGGGTTTGGAATTCCATGGGCTCTTAAAGATGGTCGTGGGGCAGTGTGTGATGGACGCGTTGATGGAACTGCACAGAAGGTTATTCAAGCCGCTGCCCAGGCCCCTTGCCAGCCCACTTTCCAAATTACTCATTTTGTCGCCACTGCTCAGACCGCCACCGTGACCGCTGTTCGACCACGTTGAGTAAAACGAAGCATTCTTGTTCAAAAATAGGCCACTCTTATTTGAGTTGTAGTTAAAATGTGGCATACGGATCTTCAGAATGCTCTCCACCTTCCTCCTGATTTCTTTGTCATTCTTATTATGCTGAGTCAGAATGCTATCGATGTTATTTCTCCACTTGTTCCATTTTTTTTCCCAAATGGTCCAATTCAAGTGAGCCTCGTTTTTGTCATTCGAATCATGATAAAATGCACATTTCTGAAAATAATCACAAGCTCCATCTTTCGCCATCTGACATGCTTGTGTTTTGTATACTATGGGGTGGAAAATTTTCTCTAATTTGGTGTGTGCCAAAGGGCAGTATGCATCATCACATTTTTTCATACGTGGACAATCGACCGGCAAGTAAAAATATTCGTTCGTTTCTCGCCTATCAAACTTGTTTATCTCGTACGGATACTTCTTCAGTTTGTTGAAGGACTTGGTCACGGGCACACCGATGCTCATCTTGTTCTGTTGTGAAGTGCCAAGTTGGGGGGTGCGACGAAATGGGCCAAAATGGCAGAAACTCTCAGACGGCGAGGCGATACTTTCGTGTATTTCAGAAATGCGGGGAATTTGGAAATTTAGGAAAGAGAGAAATGGCAAAGTGGTGAGCGTGCGAACGGGCGAAAACTTCGGGAAAAGAAACGCGCAAAAGTTTTATCATGAGCCCCTTCCCGCTATAGAAAACAGAAAAAAAGGCACGGGGAAATGCTCAAACCCGATTCATGAATACGTATATATGTGCCCACGTAATGGGGAAAAAATATGCGTCAACTAGGGTTAACATAGACCATGGTAGCTCATGCAGATTTGATTCTTCCTCTTTTCGAATGCGTGTTTAATTGTTTCTCTGCCCTTTCGTTAGCGTGTTGTGTCCTCGATCACGAGAGTGTCTTTTGATTTCATATCTATACGGGAATGAAACAGTCGCTTCGTTTGGCTTCCTTTCGTTTCGCTTCGTTCCGTCTCGTCTCCGTCCCTTTCCGCTTCCCTTCCAATGCGCGTACTTTTTCACACAAAAAAAATAATCAAAATTAAAACATCATCAAATTGGTGGACAGGTATGCACGCGGTAGGGGTGGGGTGTAGGCAGGGCTCACACTATATGTGGGTGTGTTCCCTTGTAAAAAAAAAAAGTTGTGTATAACACAATGAAAAAAGGGAGGAAGAAAAACGGGACATACTTCTTCCAATGACCATTCGTGCAAAGGGCATTATATGCCCACTGATACGTGTATGTTTTGTTTGTCTCTTTTCGAAGAACTTGGGGGGATTAGCTTTTTCGTTGGCGCGCTGTTATGTTCGTGTATGTATGTGCGAACGTACGCATATAGGCATGTAAATGTGTACACACGATTTGTCACCCCCCCATTTCGATGACGCAAACTCGGTAAAGTACGATGTCGCGTGGTAGCCTCAGGTGACGTGCAGTTATCACGCGCTAACACGATAACACGCCAGCCCACAGTGAGGTATGCAGAACGCGAATGACTAATGTAAGCAAACCATATGAATTCGTGTTCGTCTCACTTCCTTCCACAAATATTAATAACATGAATTAAAAAATAAAAAAAATTACTCTACGTATCACTGCTACGAACACTGTTCCTGTGAATAGCAGGGAAAAACGACTCACATGTGGCTGGACTATACCCGCTTTAAAAGGTATAAGAAACGTAAGCTTTCCTTGTGCATTCACAATTATTACCCAATAAGATCGCTAACATAAACGTATGGTACACATGCATGTAGATAAGTACGTCTTGATGTGCGTACGTACACATAACAAATCTTTTTAAACAGAAAGACACAAAAAGGGCGTGTAAAAAAAAGGCAAACC